CTCTCTCTCTCTCTCTCTCTCCCTCTCTCTCTCTCTCTCCCTCTCTCCCTCTCTCTCTCAGGATGTGGAGCTTGTGGAGAGGTTGAATAGCAGTCTGGCTTTTTTCCTGAATGACCTGCTGTCTCTCATGGACCGGGGCTTTGTGTTCAACCTCATCCGCTCCTACTACAAACAGGTGCTCCTCTCCCTGTTTTCCTTTGATATCAAACACTTTAAACCCTAAAGCTCCCGGGCACATTTGATACTGTTTTAAACAAATTGGTGTGTTAAACAGATTGCCAACAAGCTTTCACACGGCGCAGAACCCCAGCTCTCTGATTGCCCTGAGGTGGACTTCACTCTCTCGTGTGCAGCCACGAGCACTACGTCATCCTCAACCTGCCGTGCTCCACTCTCAGCCCCCCACCTCCCCCTCCCCCTCCACCTCCTCCACCACCTCACAGGTACTAAGCGGGCGGGAAAAACACAATATATCTGATTTAAGTTGCTTTAATATACTTTTTTTTACATTGAAAGCTTCTATTGACCTTTTTCAAAAGAAGCTTTGTATGTCTGTCGTCATATTTTATGATGTCATCACCCCGAAAACACCTCAACAAAATCCTTTTTTTTTTTTTTTTATAATCTGAATGTGAAAGTTATGAATGTTACTTTAAGCTATTTGATTAAGCCCTATTATTTTGTCTATACTTATTTCCTTCAATCTCATCTCACTCTGTATCCTCAGAGTTCAGCGTTTTCCAGTATGGTGCAGGACCAGGGTGTAGCCACCATGTTTGAGCTCTCCGTCCCTTTCCGTCAGCAGCACTTCCTGTCTGGCCTGATGCTTACTGAACTCTCCCTCATCCTTGATCCTGAAGGAGAAGGGTAGGTTCTTACTGGTTACACTATATAAGAACCAGGAGTTTCATTCAGTTCTCCTTTAGGGATCAACAAAGTGTGAACTTTAAAATGAGACACAGTACTGCTCACAGCGAGGAACCAAGAAATATGCTGATATTCTCTTTTTTTACCAACAGGGTGTTTTTCCTTCATAAAAAGGCCATTAGTGCTGTTCACTCCCTGCTGTGCAGCCATGATGCAGACCCCCGTTACACCGACCCTCAGGTCAGAGCCCACATCGCTCAGCTCTACCTGCCACTCGTCCCCATCGTCATGGAGACCTTCCATCAGCTCCACGACTTCTCTGGTAAGCACAACATATATGCCACCCACCGATATTGTCGTTATGGCGATGCACCTCCTCCGCACATTCATTTCAGTTGAAAAAATGTTTCCAGTATTTATTGAGTGCTTTTCTCGTTTTCTTCCTAGACTCCTCGCCTGCTCGGGGGCGCCATAGCACAGCCCACGCCGACGATACTGACCCAGACAGCGGCAGCACTATCAGTCAGTCTGTTGCCATGGCGATTGCCGGCTCCCCTTTGCCGCATGTCAAAGCCAACCCGTTTGCGCTGCCCACAGCGGTGAGTGATAGTGGCGGGGGTCAGGCTGCCCCCCGGCCCTACAGGCTGACCTCTGAGTGGGAGGCTGCTGCTCAGCAGACACCACTCTGGCCTTTCTGTAACTCCAAGCAGACATTCAGCGTTTGCATTATCTCATGTTGTTGCTACAATGTTATTACAACTGCTCCTCTAAGCCTGTAGATGGCTCTCTGTTCCGTTCCTCACTGTAAACAGCCATTTTGTTCTGAGGCGGATTAAAAGACTGGCTCTGAGTTTGTGTATTTTTCTCCACCAGGCTGGGCGCCAGTCCAGCTCTCTGTCTGCCGAATGCAGCAGGACTCTGCTGGTGAGCTTCCTGTGGGTGCTGAAGAATGCAGATGCTGTTCTCCTGGAGCGCTGGGTGTCTGATCTGTCTGTGCTGCAAATCAACCGCCTGCTGGACCTGCTGCATCTCTGTGTCTCCTGCTTTGAATACAAGGTACAATAACCATGCTGTGTCACTACTATAGAGTCTTTATCATTTATACAATCAAAACAAGTTAAAACCAGGTGCTCAATTTGGACGTACCAGAGCTGCTTCACAATATTACAATTATGTCAGTAGAAGTTTTAAAAAAGTTGCTAATGTTGATTTATTACTAGTGCGGTGTACTTTGTTTTTTTTGTAGTTTATAACTGTTCATGAATTGAGTCTTACTGAAGTTAATACAAATGTTGCCCCCTCTTATTTTTACTGGAGGTTTAGATTTAATTGAAACATGTTTTTTATATTTTCCCTGGTTTGTTTTTGTGTGATTTTTGTAGGGGAAAAAGGCTCTGGAGAGAATCAACAGCCTGACGTTTAAAAAGTCCCAGGACATGAAGGCCCGACTGGAGGAGGCCATTCTGGGCACCATCGGGGCTCGTCAGGAGATGGTCCGCCGCTGCAGAGGTCAGTAGCATGAGAGCGCGGTAATGTGTCACAGGGTGTAGCTTCTGGTTATTTATATATTTGTGTTAATCGATGTATATAATGTGTTTACTTTTCTAGAAAGGAGTCCCTACGGCAGTCAGGAGAACGTTCGGTGGCGGAAGAATGTCACGCACTGGAGACAAAATACAGACAGAGTCGATAAGTATGTTTACATTCATTTATTTAGTGATTACAATTTAAATCATAAACGTGGTATACCATGCTGTCTCTTCTTCTAAATAGTGTCTGAATGTTATACTGATGGTTGTGAAATAACACCTTACAGGACTAAAGCTGAGATGGAGCAGGAGTCAGTGGTGGATGGAAACTTAGCAACAGAGGCCTCTCTGGTAGTACTGGACACTCTGGAGATTGTTGTCAAGGTAAACCAATCATCAACTCACGCCCACCCGTGCAGTAATGTCCACTTTGTGTAGAAATGTCTTGCTGTAATTTTGGTGTCTCTCTGTCAGACTGTGGTGGCCTCGGAGCTGAAGGAGAGTGTTCTGGGTGGAGTGCTGAGAGTGCTCCTCCACAGCATGGCAGGCAACCAGAGCGCCCTCTTCCTGCAGCACTGCTTCACTACACAGAGGGCTCTGGTCTTCAAGGTACATCATGCAAACATTTCTCTATTATATTTAGTTAGTTAGTGTTTAGCAATCTGATGTCAATGCAGCTTAAATATTGTCAAAAGTTACACATTTTCCTTTTTACATTGTTTTCCTTCCTTGTTAAGAATCTAACACCAACTGACACATTTTAACACTATTTAAGGAAAACAACTAAATTATTTCAGGTGTATATTTTACTCTGCATATCTTTTATTTTATTGCATTCCAAAATAAATATTCCTTTTATGTTATACGTTTTAAAGCTCTACCGTTCAAGTTTACAAACAACCTAACATTATATTTTCTCGTTTAAATCTAATACAGTACAATATCCTTTATCTACTTAAACTTAGATATCCCTCATGCACGCACTGATTTTGGCAGGAAATGTTTCTATACACCTTTTTTAATGAAATGAGCCGCACATATCCCTAAACCAACAATTCTACATTCCCTTAAAGATTTTAAAGCTTTACTATCCAGTGTTTTTTTGTGATGCTTTTGACTGTTTTGTTTATTGTGTAGTTGTGAATGTTTCTTTTTCTGCTGTCTCTCTTGGAAAAGAGACCTTGATGTCAATGAGACTGACTATAATACATGTAATAATACATTGCATACAAGATGAAAGTGTGTTTGTGTGTGTAGTTCCCAGAGATGCTGTTTGAGGAGGACACGGAGCTCTGTGCCGACCTGTGCCTGCGTCTCCTCCGTCACTGCGGCAGCAGCGTCGGCTCGGTCCGAAGTCACGCCTCCGCCTCTCTGTACCTGCTCATGAGGCAGAACTTTGAGATTGGAAATGTAAGTCTGGACACTGTCTTTGCATCGTTGACCATCTTTTTTTAGTATTCTTGTAATAATCGGGGACATGGGGAGGTGTGTGGCGCAGTGGATTGTGCATTGGTGTTCAGATCAGGGGGGCACAGGTTCAAACCCCACTGCAGTCAGCATGTCCTTGTGTCCCTGGGCAAGACACTTCACCCCAAATTGCTCCTGTGGTGATTGTCCACAGTATTGAGTATGTAAGTCGCTTTGGATGAAAAGTGTCTAACAAGTAACATATCAGTAAAACAAAATGGACGTAATGGACTGTACTGGATGTTTGAGGAATAGATGCTTTATTGATACTGAGTCACACTCTTTCCTAACTTCACCCTTTTACCAGAACTTCGCTAGAGTGAAGATGCAAGTCACAATGTCCCTGTCGTCTCTGGTGGGAACGTCGCAAAACTTCAACGAGGATCATCTTCGCCATTCGCTCAAGACGATCCTGACGTATGCTGAGGAGGACCTGGAGCTGCGAGACACGCCTTTCCCAGAGCAGGCATGTAACGCTTCTGTACAAAAGTGTAATCAGGAACAGCAAAGATGGATAAGACTTGTATACTAATGTGCTGTGTTGCTCTTTGAAACTGCAGGTCCAGGATCTGGTGTTCAACCTACACATGATTCTTACTGACACTGTAAAAATGAAAGAGCATCAGCAGGATCCAGAGATGCTCATTGACCTGATGTACAGGTACGGCAACGCACATGAATACGGCTTGCAAACAACAAGAAAGTGTCTCAAATAAAGACTCTGATATTTGACTGTTTTTCTTTTCCCAGGATCGCAAAGGGCTACCAGAACTCCCCTGACCTGCGCCTGACGTGGCTCCAGAACATGGCGGGGAAACACTCTGAGAGAGGGAACCACGCTGAGGCGGCCCACTGTCTGGTCCACAGCGCAGCGCTGGTGGCAGAATACCTCAACATGCTGGAGGACTGCCGCTACCTGCCCATCGGATGTGTCACCTTTCAGGTCAGTGCACGCTGTTGGAGGCTCACTCTCCTTACAGCAGTACGGCAGAATGAGATAGAAAGTGGAACCAAGACTCAAGCCTGCAATTGTTTGAAAGTGCAAATATGATATTTTATATAAAACAAAAAGATTCAGGATTGTAAGATAGACATCATTTTACTAAAAAAAATTGTGTGTAGAAAAAGTCAGTCTTGTGTATCATGATGAAAATGAAATGAAATAGCACTCATTTATTATAGCCACAAATCACAAGAAATGCCTCAAAGCAAACAAAAGCAAAGACAAAAACAAAATACAAACGTCATAGCATTAAAATTATAAAAACATTATACATCAACATAAATATTGCCATGTGACTGAAGTGATGGTAATGAATGAAAACTTTATTAGAGACATTACATATAATAAATTACATACACAGCATAAAAATAATTCATAATTTAAGAATAATTTAAATCAGTGTCCTACAAAGAGACAACTATACCAATGTCTCCACAGCTGCGATTGGTAGCGTGTAGTACTAAACCTTATGTTCGATAAGGCCAAGAGGATTTCATTATCAGAGTCATTAAGCCGGCAAATACATTTATACATAAGATTTCTTAAAACAGCTTGTAGAGTATTGACTCCTGCAGCCACAAACATGTCACTTGCACTAGACCATCGAGGTCTCTTCAGCAATATTCTCATGGCATCATTATAAGCTACTTGAAGTTTCCGTAAACTTGCTTTTCTGTAGTTTAACCACAAATGTGCCGTATAGAGCGGTGTGCAATATGCTCTGAACAGAGACATCTTCACTCCATCTGTACATGCACCAAACTTACGTAGGAGAATGTTTGCTTGTGCATACATCATGCGGCATTGCCTATAAATATCTTCATCATCTGTCATTTGTTCTGTAATAAAGTGTCCAAGATATTTTAACTTATTACAAACACTAAGATTAATATCAGACAATTTAAAATCTTTAAAATGTATCTTCTTTGGTTCTAAAGATCATGACAGCACTCTTACTGGCGTTGTATTTGATGTCATGTTCCACACCATACACAGAACAAACAGCAAGAAGCTGCTGAAGACCATCTGCATACATAATATGGTTCACTAGAGTACTACCAATCATGCATCCAGTATTACAGGCTTTCAGTCGCTTGGACAGATCATCAATATAAAGGTTAAAAAGAACTGGGGACATCATTCCACCTTGTCTGACACCATTGCTAACCCCAAATGGGGCTGAGACCCTATTGTAATGTAGATGGAAACTAGGTGATGGAAATGAGAAGACAGATGCGAAGAGATTTTGAGTTTGCTTTTAAAGGAGTCCACGGAAAAAGCTCTGCGGATCTGAAATGGAAGACGATGTATTTATAACCAGGGCTGCACATAACTGGTGCGCATGCGCACCTCCGCCAAAAAACGAGCACCGGGTCATTTGAAAAAAGGCGTATTTGCGTACCAACATTGAGAGAGAGAGAGGAGAGAAGGAGAGAGAGAAGAGAAAAGAGAGAAGAGGAGAGAAAAGAGAGGAGAGGGGAGAGAGAGAAAGATATTTGCGATAGAGAAAGATATTCTGCTCCTAACACAGGATGGGTCAAATGCAGAGAAACAATTTCCCCACGAGGGATTAATAAAAGTCCATCTTATCTTATCATTTGTGTTCAGTGCCGTGTGTCTGGCAAATAAAGTCAAGACCCCCTCAAAAGTTACGGTTTATTTCATTTTAAGGATGAGCACCAAGCAACATCTCCAGGTGCTCCTTTGAGAACCAGGGCAAAAAAGTGATGTGCACCCCTGTTTATAACATTATTGTTCATGACAGGATGGATGGATTTTATAACAGAATGGGAACTTGTTGGATTTTCCCCTCAAGCAGCAGCTGATGATTTAATGGCCCACCTGTTAGCAATCAAGCAGAAAGGGAATCTGATAAAGCAACATGGAAAATGCGTACTTGCTCCCTTATTGATTTTAAATGTAAAAGGTTATTCAAATATTATCTATCTTAGTATCCTGGACTTTGATTTATTTTGTGTAACCTGCTGCCACCCGGGAAAGAGGCACTGCTGTGAATGGGTCACTTCAGTTCTCTGTATGTATAAGACTGTATTTTTCTTCTTCTCACTTCTTGATTTTTCCTCTCAGAATATTTCCTCCAATGTATTGGAAGAGTCAGCTGTGTCCGATGACGTCCTGTCTCCGGAGGAGGAGGGGATTTGTGCTGGCAAGTACTTCAGTGAGTCCGGCCTGGTGGGCCTCCTGGAGCAAGCAGCTGCCTCTTTCAACATGGTACGACTCGTATTCTCCGACCACATGGGGACAGACTGTTGCAGCATCAACATGGCTGAAGGAGTGTTGGGCGCAATGTTTGAAACTGGCTTTCTGTTGTGCTGTAACCCCAGGCCGCCATGTACGAGGCCATAAATGAAGTATACAAGATTCTGCTGCCCATCCATGAAGCCAACAGGGACTTCAAAAAGCTGGCGACTGTCCACGGGAAGCTGCAGGATGCCTTCAACAAAGTCTACAACCAAGTGAGTTGACCTGAAATCACCAGCAAAAACTGCCCTCTGAGTGTTTATGAGAAAATATACTTCATTCTGGATTCCATCTTATGTATCGTTTCTTTTTTCCACTTTTTCAGAGTTCGGGATGGGAGGTAACATGTTCATTTGTTATTAAGAATATTACATGTGAGATAAAATTGTTTCAGAAATTCATTTTTTTCTGTTCTGACAATGTTTTCTTTCTTATTGCTGGTCCTCTTCTCTCCGGTGACATGTTACTGGTGAGTGGTTTTCACTTTGACATTTCTCAAGCCCCTCTTACAAAACACTTTCCATCTCTTTTCCCCCCGCATTACTGTTGTGAAATAATTCTTAGTCTAGATATATATTTTCTCTTTGTCTTACTAAAGTATTTTTCTTTCGCTCAGTTTACATATTTCAACTTTAAAATAATCTTATCTCGTATCCTGTCTTCAGTGTTTAGAGAATGTTTGGGACCTACTTCCGGGTGGGTTTCTATGGCTGCCGGTTTGGAGACCTGGATGAACAGGAGTTTGTCTACAAGGAGCCATCCATCACCAAGTTAGCCGAGATCTCCCACAGACTCGAGGCATGTAAACTACTCGAACAAAGGTGTCAATAATGATTAATGAGAATCATATCTCTAAACATGAATCCTTTTAATACACAGGAGTTCTACGCAGAGAGGTACGGGGATGACGTAGTTGAAATTATCAAGGACTCCAACCCAGTGGACAAAAACAAACTGGATCCCAACAAGGTAGTATTACACGTACATTAAGTGTAAATCAATACAGAATTAGCAAAAGTTGTAATTGTGTTGTTGGTTGTTGTTTCAGGCCTACCTCCAGATCACCTATGTCGAGCCCTTCTTCGACACATACGAGCTAAAGGAAAGAATCACGTACTTTGACAAGAACTACAACCTGCGTACTTTCATGTACTGTACTCCCTTCACTCTGGACGGCCGGGCCCACGGAGACCTGAACGAGCAGTACAAACGCAAAAGCATCCTCACAACGTCTCACGCGTTCCCTTACATCAAGACACGCATCAACGTTATCCACAAGGAGGAGGTGTGTGTCTCGGCTCTTTGTGTCATGTTTCCATACAACTAAACTGCAAAGATCATCACCTATTTTGTCCTTGATTACAACGTAGTTTTAAACTTGCGGTAAATGTTGTTGAAATTGAAAGATAAAATGCAAAAGAACTCCCAGATTAGGTATTGAACAAATATTATGTTTTGCCTTTAAATTAATACATTTATTTTTGAAGTTACAGACAAATAGAAGAAAGAAGTAAATAAAATAAAATGGTTGTATGAGGACTCACATTTTTAGCAAACAAAGCTGCTGTTTTAGGGAAATATTTGCTATTATATGGATGTAGTGCATGGGGGAAAAGAAGTCAACTATTTCTGTCTCTTTGTTCTCCAGATCATTCTTGTCCCCATGGAGGTGGCCATTGAGGACATGCAGAAGAAGACTCAGGAGCTCGCCTTCGCTACAAACCAGGACCCTGCGGACGCCAAGATGCTGCAGATGGTGCTGCAGGGCTCTGTGGGCACCACCGTCAACCAGGTGCCTGCTTAAGTGCTTTACTCATGACGTATGACTGTAATGCATTTAAAATGTCAAAATCCCACATCCTCCTGAAATATTAATCCCATCCAAAACTGTGTTGAGAGCCTGGGACATTCCTGAGCAGAGATGTAACCGTCTCTCCTTCACAGGGCCCCCTGGAGGTGGCGCAGGTCTTTCTCTCCGACATTCCTGATGACCCAAAGCTGTTCCGTCATCACAACAAGCTGCGCCTCTGCTTTAAAGACTTCACAAAGAGGTGATGACACACTCCACGTCCCAGACGCAGACTGCTGTGTACCTAATAAAAATAAAAATAAAACACCCCATGTGTCCTCTGCTCTTTTTCGTGCAGGTGTGAGGATGCCCTGAGGAAGAATAAATCGCTGATTGGGTCGGATCAGAAGGAGTACCACAGAGAGATGGAGAGGAATTACAATAAACTGAAAGAAGCTCTGGGTCCTCTCATCAACCGCAAGATCCCCCAGCTATACAGGAGCCTGCCAGCTCAGACTACGCAAGCACAACGGTAACTTGAGACACGCGCACAGAAAGACACAATATGAGCTCATGCTGCTCTTCAAATCCATCTGACCAACACAAGAGTAACTTAAAACCAAAATGCATCATACCCCAGGTCATAGGCTGATAGAATCTGTGTTTTTGCACACACAATGCAGGGACTGAAAACGGTCACATTTCTCCAAGAATGTGCAATCCCTTTTATAAGAAAGTTTGCAAAGTATTGCAGCCTGTTTGACTATGGAAACTATCACCATATGTTTTCATCTGCCTTTGGCACCAGCTCTGTGTTAGCATGTGAGGGCCTGAGGACTGCTGCTTCATAATCAAAAACAGAGCTACAGCCAACAGCACCTGCCAGAGGGATGCTTTCAAACTGAGGACAATTGAGTGTCTGACAATCAGTTTGTCAATGTTAGATTGTATGTTACACATTATAATGTGTATAACAGAAAGATACTTCTCACAACTATCTCTCCCTGGGTTGGATTTTGTCTCTCAAATGAACTAATCATAAATAATTCAAGAATCACACAAATTAATATCTATGGATTTAGTAGATTTTCCGATGCACTTTTTATCAAAATGAACCATAACACTTGAAGTAATCATGTTTGTTCTTGCTTTTCTCTCACAGGAACTCCTACAGTAGGTCCAGTCTCCGCAGAGTGGACTGTTGAGGCCCGCCAACTGGACAACAACAGAAAGAAAAAAAAAGATTTATAAATTAGCCTCCTCTCGTCCCGTCTGTTCCCCCTCCCCCCACTGTATGGCTCACCAACTGTCACAAGCACACGCGCCGTCCTCTCCCTCGTCCAGCTCGTTATTTTAAGGCCCACCCAGACACGCCATAATCCCCCCCCCCCCCCCCCCCAACCTCCCCAGCACTGCCACCACACACACACTTGTCTCCTCTCTCCCTGCTAAGCCATCTCCCCCGTCACCGGCACTCTCACACCTCTGTAGGAGAAAACCTCGGATGTTTATTCTGGAAGGGTATCTGCACTGTAAACATGGACATGTGGAGCGAGGCTCCGACATGTCAGTGTTTTTAAACCAAGCTTTCAGAAGAAGTCTCCTTACAGTAATCTCTCTGAGCTTGATCTGCTTTAAACTTCAGTTTTTACAGGACATGAGCTGCTAAACACATTTTGCATCCAAATCGTTTGGGGGTTTGCGCATGTTTTCCTTTTGCTTCTTGTGTTTGCTTTCGAAGACACTATGCTTCGTCTGTCTTGTGTCTTGGCCTTATTTCATTAAGAAGAGATTTTTTCTAAACTATGCCTGGTTGAAGTCACTGCCAGACTTTGGTTATTAAATAGTCCCAGGGAGTTTTCTTTTGTTATCAACAGACCAAATAACTGACATTCCTCAAGATGTCACATTTATCTGCCTATCGCTCGTTATAAGAATTCATTAAAGAGCAGAGCCGGGCTCCTTCGCTGCCAGCTCAGGTCTCAGTCCCAGCCTGAACTGTCCTAGCAATTTTAGGAGGGAAGGGATATTTAAATGTTTTTAAAACTGTGAAATTCTCTTGTAATGCACTGCAGTCACATCAGATGTTTATCACAGAAGCAGGCCATCTCCTTCGCCCACACATGTCTAAACTGTGACATGTTATTATCACACTACAGTACAGACTGATAACTGAATACATTTTGTATTTAATGCTGTCCAAAGGAACTTCAAATGTCTTGTATGTGTCCAACACCCCGGTTGTGGCACATTTATATTCATTGTAGCTATTTCCAACTACTGTATCTATTATATTGCACTATTGTAAACAAACTGCAGCACATTAACACTGTAACTACTAAAATGTCCGTGCTTTTGTTATTTTACAAGGCTGGAAACTGTTTTTTTTACCAATTAGATCAACTTTTTTTATTTATTTACAATGTCTTTTTTCTACTGCTTTCTATTAAATGTTTCTTCCAATGCCTCAGGTCTTTTATTTGTGTGGGCTACAGAGCTGAAGAATAGACAGTAAAGGTAAATGATATTACCTTTAACAGCCAAAAGAGACTCAATACTATTAGTAAGTATTATTTATTTTGTCGGTCAAAATTTGTTTTTTTGTGAAATAGTTTTTTATGATATGTTTTTATTTTATTTTCTGGCGTATACAGTATTTCAGTGGTTAGGATATTGTATATTTAAACACAAAGCAAAACAAAAAGGATTTGACAGACTCAGACTAACAATAGCATCACCCAAAAATACAAAGTACTAAATAAACAGAGATTAATAAAACAAACGCTTTCCCGTTCCTGTATCTTACTCAATCTTAAACACCTTTAAACACTCCTATCTTCATGTAACTATTTTATTGAAGGTAGTTAAATGTAGTTCTTGCCACCTGTCTTGACTCTTATTTGTAGGTTAAAGAGTTATTGTCGGAGTCAAAAACTGGCATTTTCAATGTATGTTGCTAGTACAGGACTGCTTCAGCGTTTATGCTTTGTTATCAGGAACTCAACACCTGCTATACCTCTGTGGTGAATGACCTGCAGTTAACTCTCTGATAGAACAGCTGTACGTGGTTTGTGATTGACTGATTGGTTATTTTACTGTAGTTCTTGGTAGACTTTAAAACATGCAACCTGAAAACCTCAGCACTCTGAGCCCTCTGCTAAATCCCAGTGCTTTACATTTACACAGTCCTGCACTATTTGTGTTACACGGTTGGAAAAAATGCGGCCAAGATGTATGTGATCCAGATGTCCTCCTGGCTCTCCTTTTCCATAGCATTAGTCTTCATTTCCTGTGGCGGTAGGATGATCCACATTATAGCCTGCAATGTTTGTGTAATTTACCAGAATAAAGGGCAGCGCATTAATAATCGGGTACTTTACAAAGACTTGCGATGGCTCAGTCAATCAGACCTGAGGACCGAAAGCTTTATACATTAGAAAGTCACTCGATACTCAGCACTGTGGTTGTTGTGGGAAAGTGTATACAAATCATACTGTGAATATTGACTTTTAAACTGGATCCATAAAGCTTTGTTACCGTCTAAATGGATAGGAAAATATTCTGGAGGTGTTCCTCCTTCACATCGTATTTCCTATGAAAAACATTCATATGTTTTGAAGTTTTGTTCTGTGTATATGTCTGTTTTTGTTTTTATTCATTTGCTTTAGGTACTCGTACTTGCTTAAAGGTGTTGTACTTGATGTTTCCCTGCTGGCCTCTTCAGACATCCTAAGTGTCTGGCAGGTCCCTCCACTGATGTCGACAGAGGCCCTTTGACTTCCCCTGGTTAGTCAGGAAGGTCGTTGATATACAAAGAACTTGAAGGGTCAGGAGATCAAGTACTGTGTTTAACTTTTTGGTAGTTACATCATTAAACATGTAATTGTCAGCTTTAGTTACTTTACAAACTACAGTTTAGACAATCTATACTCTTTGTTGCAAGTGTATGAAGAAGCATGCCCTTGGAGGTAAATGAGGGATTCCAGTTGACCCCTGTGAGAGGATGGAGGCTCTACAGTGAGATGAGAGATGATGGAGCTACAGTGAGATGAGAGATGATGGAGCTACAGTGTGAGGAGAAAGATGATGGAGCTACAGTGTGAGGAGAAGGGTGATGGCGGTACAGTGAGATGAGAGATGGCGGAGCTACAATGCGAGATGATGGAGCTATGAGATGATGGAGGTACAGTGAGAGTCCATCAGCCTCCAGTGTGAGCTCCCGGCTCGGCCTCGTGGTCGCTGGCCCTTTAAGAGCAGCGGGAGGGGGGGGTTGGGGGCGCGGAGCATCTTGGCTGCGGTGTTTTTGTCTCTGTCAGTGAGCGCTCCTGGGCCGAGGCGGCTGAAAGGGTTTCCAGAGGACAGGTAAGAACAGCTCATAAGTTACACTTCCTCTGTTTGAAACGTGCTTTGCCCTCTCTCTGACGGACTGTTATTTTAAAGCGTTCCGGAGGGGCGCCTTGTTGTGAGAGCGACTTCTTTGTAAAGCGTCGGTCCTGCCCAATCCCCCGGTACGCTCTCTGCGAAGTAACGGCTCCTTTATCCTCTAAACCAGTCATTACATTGATTTTACTTTATGCAGTCCGGATTAATTAGCTTCCATTATGTCACATGAGTGTTTCTCCGCCTTTTGATTAACGTTAAACTGAGTCTTGTTTTCGCTCCTGCTCCGGTGCGTGCCTTTTTGTTCAGAGCATCACCGGAGGCTCTGCACGGCGGCGAGGAGCGCTGTAAACGCGAAATACCCTGGTTCTAAAATAAAAAATTATTATTATTATATCGTAGAAATGAATATTAAAACCGTTCAAATGTAATGAGAGTTAGCAGTGGTCCTAATGAAATGGGTTTTATTATTATTATTATTATTATTATTGTATAGGATAATGTCTCTACAAAATCTGTGAATTTTAGTCGTGTTACATTTGCCATTTATAGTCTGCATTGTAAAGTCAAATTGAGGGGATCTCAACTTTGGTCCAAATTGCTTAGCAGGAGTTTCAGAGAGCTTACAGTTTGCAAAATCTTTCCATACAGTCTCTCCATTTCTGAGCGAGCAACACATTTGGGTGTTTGTGTCAGTCTGTCTGTCCTTCATTACGAGACTTTCCCAATTCCTCACACATGATCTGTTGCAGAAATCTAACAATTTTCTAATTTCGTTAAACCAAAAAAGAAAAGCTCAATGAAGACTTAAGACTCAGGGGAGAGGGTGGGTCCGTGCTTTCTGCAAGTTTTCATTACTTCCAGATGTTCGTCAGCTTTTCGTTGCCGCTTCTTGCCCTCAAAGTTGCTCATCTCGCCTCCTGGAGCCGGCCAGTTGTCACTGAGGGAAATGTGTGTATCCTCAGAAGTTGATGAGTTAATACAATTGAATCTCAGCTGAGCATGAGAAGAGTAAACACACCTCAAACTCTCTTTAACTGCTTTTGTGGTTTTCAGATAATGCCAAAGCTACTAGAGGCACTCTCCTGATGATGGCCCTCATTGAATCCCCTTAATAAACTCATAATGCCATGCAATCTGAATATTATATTGTCTAAAGTAAATATGCAGGATTGTTTGTCTTATAATGACTCATACACTATGTGATGGGATGTGTGGTACATTGCTCTGGTTCATCAGTAAACACATCAGATGTTGTTGTGATGATGAAGAAGAAGGACACATAGAAGTTGGCAGGATGTGGGGTTGCAGTCATCAGCCTGTTACTCTGCATCATACACACAATACACCACTGTCCCGCTGCTGTTGTGTAATGGGCTGCTGGCCGTATGAAATCACCTACCAGCGAATAGAGAAAGATTGTAGCAGCTGCATGGCACTCATACAGCTCTGAGCTGTCATGCATGCCATTAAACCAGCTTTGTCTGTCTCCAATACTGAGTCTAATGTGTTGTTAACCGCGCGGATTAGTTTTAACCAGGTGCACCTAATAAACAGGCAAGTGACTATCTCCCTATTGTTTTGAGATCTTGCGTCTGTTGTACAATAACAGTGAAAACTGACTCTTCCTCGTGTCTGGGGACCCCCATTAATGCCATCAGAGACCCCAGAATGCAGTCAGTGAATCTCTGGTCAGGTTTTTGGGCAGCTTGAGTTTCCTTCAGGATTCTTTTTTTACCAAGATGGAATGTGATTGTCTTATTACAGCTTCTAGACCCAGGGGTGCTGTTGAGGAATGCAGAGTTATAAACCCCATTGGCACACTGGGCCACACGCCGGGCATTTAAAATGGTTTAGTGAGTCTAATGAAATTACACTCTCAACCTGCATGACAGTGCCTGTCATTGTGATCTTCCACTGATAGGCATCCCAGACAGATTTACTGCTTGATGAATGAACTCTTCTGTTAAAACACTGCACACTATTAGTGATCATTTACTTCACTGGAAAAGTGAAAGTTAGCCATTTTAAATATCTGCGCCTTTTCAAATGTGTTGGTGATGATTCTCCTTCTCTAAAACAACACATTTTACGATGATTAAACCCAATGTTCTTAGGTGTATTAGAGTTGAATTAGACTAAAGTAGGGATAAACATTATTTTGCAAAAGTACCATCAGTCTGATTTGATCAATAAAGAGGGTTAACACTCCCACTTAACTTTATTACTTGGGGCAGCCATTACTGAACATAGGGTCTAGAGTTGCTTTTGAGGTACTTTACAAGGGACTGTGATTATCTTCCCAAATAATCTCCCATGATCTCCTCGAATACATTAATCGCTCAGAAAACAAGATGGTAATTTCTGTCCACTAAAACATACAAACGTGTTGGAAAAGTCACTGTTATGGATGTTTTTTCTGGCCTCTTTTATTATCTTTATGTCTGCAGTCTTTTAATCAACAACTCTCATTGAACCAGGAAGTAATTGATGAATACCCTGAGAGCGAAACACTTATCAACGTCACCGCTGCAGTAAGGTTACTTCCTGTGCTCAGTACCACAACAAACGCTGACCTGAGCTTTCACCCCAGCACTGCTCCGACCGGCTCCCCACCACCCGTCTCACTGCCATCTGGACTTCGTCTCCCCCCCTCCAGACCCCACAGTTCCCTGAGAACAGTGCAGCGCTCAGGCCTCTCTGCTCGGCATCATTTTTAATCCCCCACCTCCGCAACGGCCCAGGAATTTTCTCCCAAATGCCCTTTTTTTCTAGTGTCTTTTTTTCCGGAGCCGCTCCTTGCCGTTCAGCCCCACCCATGCTCAGTTTCCTGTTGGAGGTCAGCACAATGACCAATAGCAGACTGGCGGGTGTTTACTCTGCTCCTGTTCCAGGAGTAATGGGAGCCAGCCGGCCCCTCCTCTTGGCCGTACACGAGCCAGACTGCTGGGTCTGTGGCGTCTGCTCCTCCATACCACCAGTCTTAATGTAAAAAACAGGGCTTTTTGCTAAAGGGGCAGAGAATCCTGCAGGGGACGTCCCACTGGGCAACGATTTCACCGTCCTGGGTTTAAAACCTATATTAGTCAAAAACCACATGTCCTGCAGCAGCACTGGAACACTGTGTATTGCCATGTTGATATGAGATCATCTGGCCTCTGTACGCATGCTGAAGGCTCCGTCTGTCTGTCAAGTGATGACGTACACCGTTCAGCCGCATTATGCCTGGTGACAAAAGGCTGTTGTTGCTTCTACATTTAGCATTCTTTAACAGTTCAGGGGAGTGATTTGTTGTACATTTTGCCGATTTATTATTCACGCTGGACCATTTGGCTGAATGAAGCCATCTGTGCTGCAGAGTGAGGAGGACAAAGAAGTCTTGGTAGATAGATCAACAACCGTGTCTCCTGTTGTGATCTTTATGAAACATTTGAAACTTGTCTCCAAGTCTATATTAAGTTCTTTGCGGCCTGTTACTCCGTGGAGAAAACCTCAGAACAACAATGCGCTTTATTTAAGTGTAGCTTCTCATATATTCTCTATTGTCGGCCTATTTTTAGGGGAGGAATGCACAAATGATGGTAATCTTCTAGGCGGAGCCATTTTAGATTATGAGGGAAGGTCCTTTGAAACTGTATATACTCTTGGTGAGGAGTTCTTGCAGCCTCTGTGATCTTTCTGATGTTGTTCCCACGTTTACAGCAGCAACTACATTCTGGTGTCAGCAGCAGTGATTCATACTGGTGGAGTCCAAATGAGAGCAGTCATGGTCTCCTCATTCGAGAACTTTCCATCTAAAACTTTCAGCAGCGGCTCTTTTTTTCTCTTCCCCCCTCCTCGTGCAGTATTGCCTTTCTTTCCTCTCTCTCTCTCTTACCCCTTCTCCTTTTTCCTTTTCCCGCTTACGCTCTCCCCTTGTTACTCTTTCTCCTGCACTGGGAGGAAGTGACTAGGTTGTTTCTGGATCCTCTGGGAATAGAAAGATGGAGCTCCCTTTTCCTGTAACCTTTCCTTCATCAGATTTCAGCCTATTGCTCCATATTGTCTCTGTTTAGCCACATCAATTAGCTTGGTATGACAAGAGTGCATAATGACAAAGCAGTGATCATCCGAGAGCCTTTCCAGATCAACTGACATTGGAAAGAGCTCTCTTAAAAATGTTGCTACCTATCAGTGGGATAAAAACTTCAGATTCATCATCAAGGATACAGACATAGTAAAGCATCTTGGCTCTCATATAATCGGTGCCCTTACCTGAATAAATCAACTGAAAAGCTACAGCTGTGTTTGTTGATCCGTGGGAGTCTTGGGCCTCGGACAGTGTTTGGAGGTCTGTGTGTTTTCATCTGTGCTGTGTGGGAGTCGACGGGAGTTCAAGTTGTCTGCTGTAACATTTGGTATTTGTCCAGCACATAGTTCACTGTCTTTAATCCTATCCTTTGGTAGATGCTTTTGGCATTGGTATAAGTGTCTTTATGTAGGGACACACATCTGGCAGCACAGATAGCCGATCACCGATCTTTTTCTAGATCTAGATATCAATCGTCAGAGTATTTCCGGCTTCTGTCAGTGTGTGGGTCTATAACAGCACTTCATCAACTGTTTGTTTGTTTTGAGGCAAATTTACTCACCACACTCATACACACACCCTTTCTCTCTGACTCTCTCTGAGATGCCCCTCCTTGCTTTCTATTAGAACCAGCTGTGGGACTATAGGCTGGATGAATGGCTCTTTGTGATTTGGCTGTCGCTCCAGTCTAAAAGGTCTATTTCTCCCCCTACTCCTCCACCTTCTGTGGTATTGGCATGACAACAATATAAAACAATGGACTGAACAACAGCGAGTCTTGTTATGATTTTATGCAAAGGTCATCCATCTAGGCTGCAGGACCCCCCGACAAAATGTCGACCACACTTGCACAGAAGGCTCTGAGCAGCCGGAGCAGAATCTATGAGAATCAGCAGACAGTTACGCAGCCTATCTGGTGGACACACACACAGAAGTTAAAGTGCACGCTTCAAGTCTGTTTTGTCCATGAAGGAACACATTATAAGGCTCATGAAGTCAGTCTGGCTTTAAGGTGTGCAGATGACAAATATTCCCACATAAACTGGAGGGCGTGTGTGCCCTGGATCTCAGGGTGTGAGTCAAAGAGGCAGCAAAACAGAAAACATTGCCCAATCACATGGCAGGGAGGCTCCCAGTCTTGGATTGATTAGAGAGCCCCGAATCGGAGAGAGGAATGGGGTGGGGGAGTGTGTTTCTGGAGAGCTGGGAGAGGAGGAGAGCAGCTATGCCAAGATCCGGCCGGCTTCATCCAGGCTGCACGACAAGGAGGTCAGAGAGTGATTGGCATTTGACGGGGGTGTATTGTTCACATCCTGCGTGTCACTCAAAACCACTGGAATGTTTTGGAGTGATTTTCTGGCTACGCAACCGGTGTTTAACGCCTTTCGGAGGCCACTCTTTTGTAACCTGTCTGGTGTTATCTATGTGTCAACAGAGCTACAGACATTCAATGGGATGTTACCCTCCTCTGATGACTTCTTGTCTAGATATGTCCTTTTATTTTCATTTGACCTGGGATATAGACGGCTACAATCAAAATCAAGGAATTCCAAAGCTCAACTTTCCTTTTATTCTTTTTCCCTACAGGTGCTGACTGTAAGAGTGCAAGAAAAGGAAGGGAGAGCAAGGATCCTGGGGAGGAGAGATCCCGTCCTTGCAGCGCACGCAGCTGGTATGAAGCGGAAAATAAATCCCTCTTTTCCTAATTCACAAACCATTCCCAAGCTTGAGCAGAATAATAATCACTGAAGGCTGAGAGAGTCACTAAAGCAGTGGAAAAATCCATAAAGTTCTCTGGGTAGTGGGAAGAGTGGTATTTCTGACATAGCAAAACTGGGGTGTAATCCGTTGTAATGGCAATAATGATAAGGTGACTCATTGAATGGAAGCAATGAGTTTGAAAAAGCTGACCTCGAAATGATGCCTGGCATCTTAGATTACTTTTCAGGGTGGTCTCAATCCTCTGATACACAAAAGGCACAAGCATCTATATACACGCTGTAAATCAAATCCAGTTGTAATCCCCCAGTTATGAAGTGCATGCAGAGTGTGGTTGTAAAGTTAAAAACCTGAAGCTACATTTACAAAAACAAACATTTTGAGATTGTTGCTGTGAGATGTTAAACATGTGACAGTATGCAGTTATTCTCGTGACAGAGCATACCACAGATGTGTAATTTGTGATGGGTGACCTGCATCCTACCCCCCGAGGGTCTTCCTAATCTTAATAGCAGGGAACGGAGGGAGTAGACCAGGCGATGCTAACTTCCGTTAGTATGGTATGCAGCTGTATGGGGAGGTGGGGGGTGGTGTAATGGGGGCAAGGCATTTGTCCTGGATGAAGCTGGTCAGAGAGGGAGAGTTGTCTGAAGAATGGTAGTGTGGCGCTGGGGAAGGGCGCACACTGCTTTCTGCTCAGCTGTCATCTCAAAGGAACTGTTTGAGAGGGAGAGAGAGGGAGGAAGGTCAACCGCTCCTCCCCACCCGCACACACATTAGGGCTGCTCAATTAATCGTATTTTAATCACAATTACGATTATGGCTTGCAACGATTACGAAAACAACGTAATCGAAATAAAACGGTTATGTTTTTATTTATTTGTATTGGTTTTTCAGTTGAATTATGTAAGTTCAGAGTAATCAACTGTTAAAAACATACTGTTAAAAAAAAAATTCTCCAATAAATTGATGTTTTCAAAGTAAATGGATAATCGTTTTTAATAATCGTGATATCAATTATTGACCCAAATAATGGAGATTATGATTTTTGCCATAATCGAGCAGCCCTAACACACACACATACACACATAGTAACACATCTGAAACACCCAATGAGCCACTGTTGGAGAAGCAGATGTGGGCGACTTGAGTGGGTGATGTGGGATGAATGAGTCCCGGAGAAGTTCTAAGTAAAGAGAGATTTTGAAGCAGAGAAGAATGTGAGTTCCCTTTGACGTAGATGTGATTTGAAACAGCAGAGAACTAAGTTCAAAGGGGGATGCAGTGGACAGTGTCAGCCGTCTCGCCCGCAGGGCTGGGATGTTTGGTTGCTAAACTGCAGATTCTAATTATATCTCATCAACTGTCCTCTGTCAGCGCCGTCCTCCACCTTCCTGTACACTCTCAGTTTCTCACACACACACACATCGACAGGCCCGCTGACTCCCAACCACTCCCCAATCTCTCAGTCCTGTTCTCACTTTCTCACACACGTAGGCATACCCAGACCGCCCTGTACATCATGCAGTACATAATCAATCTAACACTATCATTCCCGTACTGGAGATAAACTCATACTGCCTCGCCTCAGATGCCATTCATTATTTTTTTTCACATAATTCCTCTACGAAGCTAATGTATGGAATCATTAAGATGTACATTCAGGATGCCTTGTTGGCTTTGTGTCAGTTTTTTCTTATCACAACGGAGTGAGGAGTACTTTTTCATCTGTCAATGCTAAAAAGGGGTCTGTGTGTGCATGCATGCAGTGTTTGCATGCCTCATAATGTGTGGCAATCTTGGTATGAGGGGCTGATGAAGGGGCACAGATAAGGGGATAGCACCAGGACATTAAACTGACTACAGGACTTCAAAAATACCAAGTCAATTTAGTCACTGTTTCCAAGTGGCCTACTTTTCACAAACCAGCAAGCACTGACTAGGGTCACAAGATAGAGAGAGCGCGCGACTTAGAGGAGAGAGACTCAGTTCTTGCTGAGGAATCATAAACCATGCTTGAAGTGAAATGAACTGAGTATGCCTTTAAACAAAACAAAGTGGAAGTTTGCAGTCCAAACCTCTGATCTCAGCTCAGTCTAAAGTAATATAACGATGTCAAACCGGCAAAAAGCTGTGGATGGCTTAAACATTAGGCGATATCCTCAGTTCCCACAAAGTGGTGACCTAGAAAGTTAATCTTTTCCAAGCAGACACAAACTCAGAGTCAAAGCGTTGTAGGCTCTCTGTTTGTTCTCTGTGGGAGGACAAAGCACTATCTTTTGATGATAGAGTCAAAATGCATTACTTCTGGTGTGGAAAATGTTTTGAAGCAATTCACTATGCTTTGTGTGAAAGCACTGAGCGAGGCAAGGAGACAGCGACCAGCTAAAACCTCCTGACCGTCAGCTGATGTAAGAGAGGGGGAAAGCACCAGAAAGGAAAAGAAGAAGAATAAGAGAAGAAGCAGGAGGAGATATAAGTGGAGAAAGTGAGGGAGAGAAAGAAGAGAGTGTCTGGAAACCCTAAATTGAGAGGCGAAGTTAGCGTGCGCAGATGATTCCTAATAAGGTTGTAACTGGCAGCCTCAAACCTCTGTCCTGACGCTAGCTGCCAGGAAACTTTCGTCTGTAAGTCCTCTTCTCTGAGCGCTAAGAACAGAAACAAACACACAATCCACTGTGACCCACTATGCTCCCAAAAATGAACAGATCAAATTAGACAGGGAAGCAGGAGGGTGAGTGGTTGTAGGACACGTAAATCTACTTCTGACCATCATACAGAAAAAAAACAATGTGTTCTAGAAGAGCAACCTTTTATTGTAAGATTTTTTTAAACCATGTGTAGATAGAGTACATACTGTACATTTACATGGTTTCAGGGTCTAGTATTGTGCATGATGGCTCACTCTCACTGGGACACTTTGTTAGAACAGAGCATTTGTCAGTTACACCTGTACGCTTACATTGTGGTTGTGCAGTGTTTTGAGTGAAACGACCTGAGTGGCAGCCATGCTAAGGTGTTGTCCTATTTTCTAAATGCTAAGGAGCGGTGATTCAATTCTTTCTTCAATTTATTTTTGATTAATTTAGTTATCTCTGGCATAAGGCACGCTGGACCATGGGACAATCGTTGTACTATATTGCATTGAGTTTGTCATTGTGCTCATTTTCTGTTTCATACATTTCATTTTGCTTCCAAAAAGCCTAGTGTACTTGCAGTCAAATTCTAATACAAGTGCTAATTTATTCTCCTTCATATCATTCCTTATTCTTGCTTTACAAACTTTACATTTTCGTATTTTTAGTAATAATTTACAAGGTTTCTGTCTCTCCACAGGCGAGTGTTGGTGGATGTTTGAATAACAGCCACAGGCTCACGATGGCTCAGGTGCTGCATATGGAGCCCGGCTTCCCAGGTGCACATTCTATTTGTTATCATTAATATCACATGATAATGAAGTTACGATATAAGTTTATCTTTGTTAAGATTTAGACTATTAAACACCTTCTAAGTAATGTAATAGTTGTACCATCCAGACACTTATAAGGTCAGGTTATAGTCACTGTGCCACTTCCACCTGTACCTAATTTGCTGATTGTTTCAGAGTACATGTACAAACACACAGAAGCCCTAAAGTGAATGCTATTTTCTAAAGTCTGAGCCCAAGATTAGACGCAGATATCCGTTTGTTTAAAGTTGATTTCCTTCCCCCTCAGGGAAGCTCAACCCGCCCGCAACTCCTTCCCTGCACGGCAAAGAGCAGGAGGCCTACTCAGTGGAGACCCCCTATGGCTACCGTCTGGACCTAGACTTCCTCAAATATGTTAACGACATAGAGAAGGGAAACACTATCAAGAAGGTACCCGTCCACCGCCGACCACGCTATGGCTCCCTGCCCCGTGGCTATGGCTACACCGGCTCCTGGTGGACCTCCACAGAGTCTCTGTGCTCCAACACCAGCATGGACAGCAGACACTCCTCCTTCTCCTACTGCCGCCCCGGGATACCACACATCCCAGAGGCCCAACTTCAGCACCGCCCGGGTGGAGAAGACCCTTATGGATGCACGCAGGAAGCTGGAGGAGGAGAAAGAGGGGCGGAGATTCTCCAACCTGGGAAGCATGCACAGCAGCGTAGCAGGCTCCAACACCTCCATCAGCAGTGCACACAGCTACAACAGAGCCCATGGTGGAGGGGGATCCTTCACCCCGATGAGTTCTGGCCTGTCCACCCCAGTGACCCCCACACCAGCGCACCTGCAGCACGTCAGGGAGCAGATGGCTGCGGCTCTCAGGAAGATCAAGGAGCTGGAGGAGCAGGTGAAGACCATCCCAGTGCTGCAGGTCAAAATCTCCGTGCTGCAGGAGGAGAAACGGCAGCTCAGCGTCCAGCTGAAGAGCCAGAAGTTCCTGGGTCACACTCTGAGTTTCAACCGAGGCCGCCCCAGAGGAGAGCTCTACATCGACATCCCTGAAGAAGATGTGAGCGCGGGGGCTAAGAGCAGCAACCAGCCAGCAGGGCCACTGTCCCCCACCTCACCCGAGGGCTCCAAGCTTCAAGACTCAGGATGTGAGATTGAGGATACAGTGATTGTGAGTGGAGCTCGACCGAATGCAAAGCGGGAAGTGCGCACCATCGCAGTGGGACCAGAGGAGTTGAGGGGCAGCAGTGAGTTGGGAGTCGGGGTTCGGGAGGAGGATCTGGGGCTGCTACCAGAGACCCAGGCTCTTAGGAATAAAGTGGGTCAGCTGGAGGGCCAGCTAAAGAGGACGGTGCAGGAACTGCAGGAGGCGCGGCAGCAGGCCGCAGCAGTCCAGAGGGGCCCTCAGGCAGAGCACCCAGTTATGGCTACCAGCGTGGGCTGGCAGGAGCCTCAGGGCTGCAGCCTGCACACCCTGGTCAGCTTCACCCAGCCCCCCCAACAGAGGGAACAGAGGACTGTGGGAATCCAGGTGTACACACTGGAGCAGCCCACTGTGGTGGAGGTGGGCACGCTGATGCGAGCGGAGATCTGCAGCTCCCCCTCCCCTCAAGCAGCTGCTGGAGCCGTGGAGGGCCAACACAGAGGACAAGCTGAAGGTCTCTAAAACTTAAGATCATAAGCACAATGTATCTAGGAATGTCCAATGTGGGTTTCTCCAGCTGATGACCAATGATTTGCTGCATCTCACGGCTGATACTTAGAAGAAAACCACTAATAATAAAACATTTTAAAAATAAGTTCGTATTCTGTAGGTTATGCACACCCGACGGTAGCTTTTTGAGTAGTCAATAGAATACTTTTTTTTAATTAACAGCTATAATTGTATTGTTGAAGAAATAATAGAATATACACATTTTGCATTTCCAGCTAATAATTAATTGGCACTGCGTTATATTGTGCATCCCTAGATTAAACACATTGCCATTGGATTGCATTACATTGTACTACTGTAACCAATAAGCAGACAAGGGTGTAAGAACTTGTGTTGACCCGAAAATTGTTTGATAAACTATTTACATTTATTTTGTTGTATTCCTCCATAAAGTGTTGTATTAGTTATGCTGTTCTTCGCTTTCTCTCACAGAGGCTCCAGTTGAGTTGCCGATTGCCGTCAGCTCCAAGCAGGTGCGCGATGTCCTGAAGAGCGAGCTCTCCACCTCGGTACCGGTAGCGAGTCCTGCCATCGCTGTCAGCACGGCCGGGGATCAGATTGGTTTGATGCATTCAAAAGAAGAAGAGACACACCAGCATACATCCAAAGAGGCTGCCGAGTCCCACGAGGACCCTCAGACAGGTAACTGGGCTGAACTCTCGACCATCATTCCTACTTTGTTCTTCCCTCGTCATGCCCCCACGGTTTGTATGATCACTGGGTTTTTCTTTCAGCCTCATCTCCCCAGTCTTCTCTGAGGTCTATTATGAAGCGCAAAGCAGAAGGTGAACCGGGATCTCCCACCACGAAGAAGAACCTGCAGTTCATTGGAGTCAATGGAGGGTACGTGTGTTTGCAGACCATAAAACTGACCTTTTCATGCATGGCACAAAAGTATTTGTATTCATATAAAACAGATTATAAGCTCTAATAAGTATGATGGTTAACAAATTATTTGGTTTGCGTAAGTATGTTTATATCTTGACCCATTAATGTACTGTATTCCTATGTATATTGTTGTTGGCTCTAACTCCTATGCTGCTGTCTTTGCCAAGATCAACCCGTGTAAATAAGTTAATTGACCTCAACATAAATGTCTTGCAGCTACGAGTCCACGTCCTCAGACGATAGCAGCAGCGAGAGCTCAGATGAGGCGAGTGACTCCAGCGAATATCATGAAGCACGAGAAAAACTCACAGAGTCAGCGGCCCAGCACCAGCTAATAACCAACAGCCAGGCTTCCCCGCCTTCAGAAAGCAACAGAGTACCTCATCAGACTGCTGTCGTACTGCCAGCCATCATTCCAGACTCACAGCAGAGTCTCAAAGATTCAGCAACAGCCGACATAAAGCTGCCGGTCAAACCCCCGCGGTCACCAGCGATAAACACTACTCTAATTCCTCCAAGTCCACAGAATGATGCTGCCTCTAAAGACACTGTCAACCAATCATCAGACACACTCACAGTCACGCAGGAGTTCTCCTCCACATCATCAAGCACTGAAACCACTCCCGAACAAAGCTCCTCAGTTACCTCTTCTTCATCGCTGTGTGTCACTAAAACCACTGAGATCACCCAACAGCAATACACCGTCCAATCAGAGACAACCGTCCTCTCCAGCCAATCGGAGCCAACGCCAGCAGCGGAAAGCCACGTAAAAGACACTGCCACAGTACCTGCCAAGCAAGTCAGGTAAATATACACATAAACAGACATACTGATAAGTGGTGATGGTACTATCTAGGCTGTGTTCGATCTTTCAATGGCTGATGTTGTCCGTCTCTGTCTCAGATTGGATCTGAGTGACAGCCTGATGTCAGCTCTTCATGCCCTGCAGAAAGCCCTGGGGGAGCCCAATGCCTTCAGCCAACAAGGAGCAGTAGGTGTCCATTTAATCCACTAAATCAGTGTTTTAATTCCCTGGATAACACACTCAGTATCGATACTGCTTTCCAGGAGTTCCTTCTAAAAGCTATCACACTGGCAACAACATGCAGAAACACAATCAAGCAGTCCTTAAAAATGTATTTAATTAAATCCACAGTCAGACAATTTGTAGAAAATGTGTTTTACTATTGATTTGGTAAACTAGAGGTTATGTGTACTTTTAATTTACATTACGTGTCATTTGTTAGACGCTTTTATCCAAAGCGACTAACACACATTCAGTACTGTGGACAATCCCCACAGGAGCAATTTGGGGAGAAGTGTGTTGCCCAGAGACACAACGACATGCTGACTGCAGTGGGACTCAAACTTGCTATCCCCTGATTCGAAGTCCAGCACACTATCCACTGAGCCACAGCCTCCCTCCCTAGATCTCTAAATGTTTGATATAGTCAAGAAATAAGTTGTAGTTCTTGTAGTACAAAAAAACATGAGAAAATAAAAGTGTTTGCTTTCTCTAGACCCAGTTATTTTTGTATTTCTTTAACAAACCTGTTTTTTATTTTTGATATGCTGATTATGGCAAACCTGCATGCCTGTGCTCTTGCATTTCCCCAGCAGTCTTTCAAGTGTGTTTGTGTCTCTAATTGTCCTCATTGTGTCTGTCTCAGAGGGCGGCCTACACCAGCGTGCTGCAGGAGTGGCTGCGCGTGTCCTGTCACAAAGCGGCGGACACAGCTGTTGTCAAAGCCTATATGAACACCTTCGCCTCAGTCTCCCCTCAGCTGCTGGAGTTTGTAATCAACATGGCAGATGGTAACGGGAATACAGCGCTTCACTACACCGTCTCCCACTCCAACTTCCCCGTGGTGAAGCTGCTGCTGGAAACTGGTGTGTGTCTCTGTCTGTATATCTGTATGTGCGTGAGAGAAAAGTCAGACAAGCTTACATAAGGGTGTGTATGTGGGTGGTATGGTCTCTAAAGTTAAGGATATTAACTCAGTCTCCAACATGTTCCGTCTCCCTGTCATTGTGTGTGCTGCTGTGTCACCTGTCTCACTGATTGGCCTCTATACCTGACAGGACTGTGTAATGCTGACAAGCAGAACAAGGCGGGCTACACAGCCATCATGCTGACAGCCCTGGCTGCCTTCCACTCTGACAATGACCTTCAAACCGTCCTGCAGCTGCTGCGCACGGGGGACGTCAACGCCAAGGCCAGCCAGGTGCGCCCTCTACTGCTCATAATGTCTCACTGCACGTCCGCACAACTAAATCCATTGAAAGAGCATTTATATGTTTGCTTTTGAGTTCTCTTGACACGTCCTGCAGCATGCAAACAAATGCAACCTGACAACAATTTAGCTCTGAAATAAGATGCACTGTGAAAATGAGTCTCATGATGTGTGTTTGCAGGCCGGTCAGACGGCGCTGATGCTGGCAGTCAGCCACGGTCGCGGGGACATGGTGAGGGCGCTGCTGTCCTGCGGCGCTCAGGTCAACATCCGTGATGACGACGGCTCCACAGCGCTCATGTGTGCCTGCGAACACGGTCACGTTGACATTGTGCGCCAGCTACTGTCTATTCAAGGCTGTGATGCCACTCTCACTGACAATGTAAGCATATTTTCTTTCCGTCTTTACTTTCTCCTATTTCCTTTTTTTATTATTGCAATCCAGTCCAAAAACTCCACATACGTTCTGTTTTTACAGGACGGCAGCACTGCTCTGTCCATCGCCCTGGAGGCCAGTCAGAATGACATTGCTGTGCTCCTGTATGCTCACCTCAACTTTGCAAAGCCCCCTTCCCCTGTGAGTACTTTGACACACTGCTAACACACACTTACTCTTGTCTCTATAAGGCACAGTGGAATGAGGGTAATAAGTAACTGAGATAGAGGAAGAAGAAACAGATTAAATGTTCAAAAAAAAACTCCTTGAAAAGACAAACCATCACAAATCGGATGTTGAGCTGTACAGTACATACCGTTCAAGCATAATCTGAATTCTTGAAATTTCACACACTGGCTGTAGTGTTTCCTGCAGCCTTACCACAGCTGTGTGTGTAACTGTACAGAACTATGAAATCTGAATCATGTTCTTGTTATTTAATCCTAAACTAGACTGCATGGGAAAACCATAGGGATGAGTTGTGAAGTTTTGTGTGACATCAAGTCTGTTGCATTACTTGGGTTGCATATAACAAAATGACGGAAACGTGTGCTGTCACGTTTTTTTCTCTAGTGAAATGTTAATGCTAAAAATGCAAGATATATAGTTTCAGTTTAATTTTGTTTTTCCTGAAGGATGTTGTTTTTAATTAGTGCATTTTTCACTCCCTTTTAGTTCTACTTTGCAATAATTACCCTGGAATATGGGATTATTTTTTCACCAATAATACCGTTTTTTTTTTTATTTTAGGTTTCACCAAGGTGTCCTCTCTTGGGTTCCTCTCCTCCTGCTGGTGAAGCAAAATAAACCCTGCTCCAGCCAGTCCACAGTAACTACTCATATTACAGCGTGATTTATTTTCCTCATCTGTGTTATTCAGAGAAACAATGAGTTTGTGTTTGTTTTCACCCTCCATAATTTAAATACTTTATAATGTGCAGATAATTACATGACAGCTTGCACCATTCTAATCTAAAAACGGAACATCTAGCACAGGGCTATTCAATTGGCGGCCCGCGGGCCAAATCCGGCCCCGGGGTGATATTTACTCTCCTTTTGAGAATAATGTTAAAAAGTAATCTACTTTTTCTAGATTTTTTAAAGATTGCTTTTTGGGCCAGAGTGCCTTTATTCCAGAGAGGGTGTTACATTGAGAGATAGAGAGGAAGACATTGCCTGAAAACTTTGGCGGGCTCGGGTTTCGAACCCACCTACTAGCTACTGTAGTGACAACTCCTGTCATTGATTGCATCTCTGCGTGAATGATTAGATCATTTCACCTAAATTAAATCAAATGAAATGATGTTGATGGTTAAATTAGCTTCACATGTAGGCCTACTGAGTTCTGAACTTGCCATTTAGATCTATAAAGGCCTTGGGGCTATGTTGTTTGATTTAATTAAACACAATATACGCACTCCACTATTTACTGTATCTGAAGCTCTTAATATGATTGCTCATATTTCAAGCCATCTTTTTCCCGGCCCCTTGCTTTGGATCATTTTCATCAACCGGCCCCCGTTCCAAACTAATTGAATAGCCCTGATCTAGCAGCTTCATGGACACTGTCAGCACTGTTTTTAGTCAAAGTCAAAGATGTTCACTAAATTGCATCATATATAATTATACACTTGTTGTTTTAATCCATATGAATCTCATATTAGTTGCTTTTATAGAGTGATGTGTTTTCATTGTTATGTGTACAATAGCTCTTACACAGTAGCATCATTATGTGTGTGACCATCGATCATTTGGAATGACAGAAGCCACTCCTCTCACGGATAAGTGTCCTTGCTTAAAGTAGCTCGTTGATGCTACAACAATCTATTACAGTGAACACCACTTCAACAGTTGACCAATATTTATACACAGGATTTATTCACTCCAGAGTATTTTTGATATTGATTTTTTTTTTTAAATGTTGACTTAATTCAGGATCTTCAAGGATCACCATTTTTTATTTCCACAGCAATTGTTTCCTTAAAACACCTTTTCAAACAATACATAAAACTACAGTTAATGTGTCGACCACCCAGATTAAACCCAAAGATGTCTCTCTCTGTGTTGCTGTGTGTTGTGGTGATAAAAATGAACACAGTGTGAAGGAAGGAAGAGGTAAATATTATTCTCTAAAGGCTACGGTACTTTGGTCTTTGTGTTTTAAAGTGATGGTATTTTGGATGTTAGTAACGAAGGGTTAGAGTGTATCTGTGTGATATTCTGTGCTCATAAGAGTAAACACAATTATATTGAGAAAGGACTGAAAGCACTGGTGTAGTCACCTCCGCTCTGCATGGTTAGATTTTTCAGGGAACCAGAAAGTGACTGATTGGGGTCTTTAAAGGAAGTGCCGTGTAAGATGTGAATATCAAAATAATATATGTTGATATAGAGTGGTAGTTATTATGCCTAAAATCAAATTACTTAAATTAGAGTACATAGGCTATTGATGTCAAATTTCTATTACTTTTTAAATACTTTTTTCACAATTTTCATATTCACTTTCAAGCAATTGAACTTTTATAAACTTCAATTTTTTTTATTTAAGTATCTTTTTTATACTTTTAGAATTTTTAAGCTCACACCTATTTTATGTAATCGCACAGCTCTTTAGTTTATGTTTTTATGAAGGTTTATGTAAAATGTTAGACTGTTACTCCACTTCTAATTTGTGCTTTTTGGAAAAACAATGAATTAATAAACGTGGACCACACTGTTTCTGTTGCATTTATTCCGTCTAACTTGTTTGCATGTAAGTTGCCATTAGTTATTTTAAACAAAGTAAAGAATGTTTGTGCTCAAGAGAGTACGTTTTATTAAAGTCACATAGGCTGGCCCTAGACTTTTGGGGGCCCTAAGCGAGCTTTGGCTTGGGGGCACCTCTCACTCTACCGCGTTCTCAATCCACACAACACGGAACCAACTTTTGTCTTATGATGTTAGCATAAGCACACATATTGTATACATAAGCATGTAAACACCGTGAACCTAACCTGCTCCCCCGCGAAGATTTTTGTTTAAATATTGAAGTTAAAAGCATCAATTTGGTGCACTTTGAGAGCAAAATTAAGAGATCTATGGATACATCTCTCAACACCCATATGAAACAGAACTGTAAACAGATTTTTCTTTATGGATATTTTACAAATCACTTAAACTGTATTCTTGTTTTGTCATATAGTATTTCATAACTGTTTTTCATTTATTCTCTCTGGCTGTCCATCTCATAATGTTCACATGAAAACTAGCTGTCAATAGGAATATCATTCAGAAGAATTATAATTTCATGCAAAAATCTGTCACAAAAAGAGGTTGCACATTTAAATTCAGGTGTTGTTATGGCAACGTCAGTGGCCAAACAGCCACATTTACTGCTGCTAATACGTTCAAACATGCTGTTGACACATAAAGCAGTGGCAACTATGCCACCATTTCAGCTGACTTTTTCTCAGAAATACTGTCACATAACATCCATATATTTCAGTGCTAGGTTGATGCTTAGCTAAGCTAACTATGAAACACTTTAACTGACTGTAAGGTAGCTTCTAGCTTCATGTCGAACAGTAAATCAACATTTCCCAGAGAGCTTTCTTTGAAATCACCAGGTAACGCTAAAAAACATTACATTTAGATTGTATGACAAAGTGTTTATTTAATATATCTGGCTAGCTATAGCTACTTGCTAACGGTTTAGCTTACCCCCGCGAAGTAAAGTCAACGTAGCTGTAATTTATGCTTTGCTTGCATGTTCGCATAACTTGGAGGTTTACTGACATGTACATAGCCTACCTTGTTTACCTGGCTCAAGTGGTGGCTCTGGGGTTGTTGTGTGAGCCACCACTTGAGAATTGTCGTATTTTTTAAGAATTTTTTTTCTTATGTCCATCTTCAAAAACTCTGAGTCCGACTGACAGTTTATTTTAAACATTGTCACAGCTCACAGAATAGGTACCTGTCATCCAATAAGACAGATGTTTATTTCCATTCAACTCTGGTTGGTCTTGCCTCTGTTGCTTTCACTGAACACGGGAAATTACAATCCTACCGTCCTCTCTCATGATGAGGTTCAGGTAAAGCACGGTTAATGTATTATTGACTCAATAATATAATACATTACTTTGAGAGTAGGCAATCTAGGCATATTAACACAATTAATTAAACGTACTTATCACGGCGACGGTGTACTAAGATTATTTTATTTTTTCATTTTTTCATTTCATTTTTTTCATTTTTTGAAAATGTGGCTGCGGGGCCCTAAGCGGATGCTTATGTCGCTTAATGGGTCGGGCTGGCTCTGGGTCACAGTTGTTTTTCTTGCATATCTTTGATTTATATTTTGTTTTCATACTCAAAGGGTCCCCTATCATGCAAAATGCACTTTTGTATGTCTTTTATACAAACATATGTGTCCCCGGTGTGTCAGGGAACTTACGTAGCGTCAGAAAATAAAACCCTCTCTCTTTTCCTCCGTACACAAATCTCTAAAAATGGGGGTACAACGGAGCTGATCCAGATTTGCGTCGGATATGACGTAATATCAGCAATGCAGACCCACAGCACTATCAGAAACGTGGCTATCAGAAACAATGCCCGACTGTTTTGGACGTAATATGGTCGGTGTTTACATTAGCATCGCTAACACTCAGAGCTAACCTGTACTGCACAGAGCATGTGTGTGAAGAATAACCGGCAAGAGAGAAAGCCTTTGAGCTCCATACTGTTTCAGAAATAATCCATGATATGGTGTTTCATCACGGCAGAATCTGCCGGTAGAATCTCCCGCATGAGCAGGCATAAACTCCGACCCCCTTTTTTTTTTATCAATTATTCTTCTTTTTTTTAAAGCTTTATAAAAAATCAGCACTTTTGAAACAGGAAGTGAAATAGAGGGATATGAGGCATGGCTAGAATGGGTGATCTGTTTGGTATTTTGAGCAAAACACTTTTTATATATGTACGTATATACAGGGTCGGCGTCATGGGGGGTCATTCGCGGGCCATGCCCCCCCAAATGAGTCACTGTGCCCCCCCAACGCAGGGTGGGCAAGCCTTGTCACTTTGCCGATTTTTTCTTTTTTTTATCATATAGGCTAAGTGAAAACGTTTCCACTAAAGGTTTTTTGTGTGAAATACATCAGAAATAAATAATACAAATATAAAACACAGCCTGAGGTGTGCTCACTGCTGCTCTCTGATTGGTGTGTTGCTTGACCAATGACCCCCGACCTTTGTTTTGTTATCATTACGTGGCTGAGTGTTTAGATGAAAGCCCAGTGGCGATCTGTTAATCTGTTATACTGATTATACAGTAAAGCCATCAAAAATAATATGATATACAGTACAGTACAAGTACATGGGTCTCTGTGTTTCATTCAAGCTCTGTGTGTGTGTGGCACGAGCGTATTTTGTGAGTGCGCGAGCGGTAACGTGGAATGTTGTGGTTAGCATCTGGTTAGCTAGCTATGCTAACGGATATAAAGGGCTGTTTCTACACCAAGGTGGAGGAGAGTCCTCTCCTGTCAGACTGAGAGGATCTTATAACGTCAGCTCAGTGAGGTAAGGACTCTCTCAGTGTTTAGATAGTTCACTTTAGTGTAAGTTATCTCAGTGGGTCTCAAACGGTTTGGTCACCATTTATGTAAGTATTTTCGAGGAATACCTTTATATGATCATTATAGTTATTAAAGAGAGAATAAATGAAAAACGGGTATGAAATACTATAGGACAGTAACACAAGAATACAGTTTAAAAGGGGAATGATTAGTGAAATATCCATAAAGAAAAAGTAAATCTGTGTACAGTTCTGTTTCATATGGATGCTGAGAGATGTAGGCTATCCATAGATCTCTTCACTTTGCTCTCAAAGTGCACCAGATTGATGCATTTAACTTCAATATTTTAAAAATAATCTTCCCGGGGGAGCATGCCCCCAGACCCTCCTAGAGGAGGTTAGGTCCACCCCCACCTAAAACATGTTCACATGGATAGGATACTAAATACATTTGCACACTTTTTATATGATGGCCTATATCCAAATCAAATCAAGTTTTATTTATATAGCACATTTTTCAACGATTTTTGGTCGAGCCAAAGTGCTGTATATACAGTATAATACAAAAATAACCTACAGTAAAGACACTTTACAGCAAATACAACAGCACAGTTTGTGCAGAATATCAGTATGAGAAAACGACACCCTCTGTACTTATATGTTTCTGTTTTGGTGGTCGTGCCACAACCGTGCATGTATGCACAAGTCATAGGTGCGCTATACAATAGCACTACACCCTGCATGTGTGTGAAAGACAATAGACTTTACAGCATGTTTTTTTAAATTGAAGTTGCGTTGGTGTTTGTGTGTTGGTTGTTGACGGCATTGTGTGCCCCCCCTTGGTAAATGATTGCCCCCCCATTCAAGTTGTTCTAGAGCCGACCCTGCGTATATATCTGAGACCTATATGCTATTGCCTAAAAATAGGTAAAAGGTATAACTAGTGTTGCATGCTACGAAACGTCCACTAGAGGACGCTCCAGCATTGAACAGTTCTTCCCTCGGTGTACATCAAGTCCCCATGTGCAGTACATTACTGTTTACTCATTCAAATAACTACCAGAAATTATTGGAAGGTCCAAAACCATCAAAACTGTACAGTGATCTGTTTATTTTATATGTACACTTTAAATGAGTTTCATCCATTTCAATCAACAGCATCATAAATGTGAGATTAATTCCCCTTTGATGTTGCCAACACCACATTACAAAACTTTTGGTAACCTGTAGATTTTTGGTTTCAAGTATAATTGTCCTGACCGGCCCCTGAAATCCTGTCATTTTCCCAAAGTAGCCCCCGGGCAAAGCAAGTTCAGTATCCCTGTTTAAGATTTCTCTGTGGAAGGCAACAGAGGATCATGAAATGGATCTTGGCAAGGCCTCATCTATTTAACATGTGTCAAAAGAGTCTCAACATGTCTTCAGTTCTGAAATGGTAAAACTTCAGCAACACTCGTATAATAAACATTATTTTTGCACCTACAAGTTTTGGCTTGTGGTCTTTATTAAGGTCATCCGCAACAAGCCAAAACGCGCTGTTCCGCCACAGACTTCTTCCTTTCTCCATGCACCTTGGAAGTAGGTTAGGTTTGGCTGGAAATCCCCACCCTGATTGTACAATCCTAACCAGATGTGACCAGATGTCATCACAGACAGGAACAAGAGGATCCTGGAGTCGGGGTCAACCTCTTCCGGGTGACTCCTGCAAGAAATGTAAGTGTGTTCAGGTGTATGTGCACACATGGGTGTCTTCCAGAATTTGAGGCTTTAGCACAGGGAGAGCAACCTGATTCTGTTAGGCCAGCCGGCGGTTCCCAACCTTATTCAACTCAGGGCCCACTTATCTAAAAAAAATGTGTGGCACACATTCAACCATAAACAATACGGAGGCTAAATAAAGTTCTCAAGAGTAATTTTTATTTTAATTAGAAAGGGAGCTGGCCATCAATAACAAACAGACATTTTTATTTCACATGTTTAGTTGAATACTCGATTCTGATTGCTCAATTTAGAACATGTGACACGTTGTTAATCCAGTAGAACCAGTGCTGGAATTGGGCCGGTACTCACCGGTACGCAGTACCGGCACTTCTGGTTCTGACCCATGGAGTACCGGCACTTCTTGCTCAGTACCGGCATGCTGGCGGTACTCCGGTACTCATGCACC